ACTGTGGCATGATCTCCTTCCAGTTAAAGCACTCACTATCTGGATGCCATCTGTTCTGGTGTTGATGTCAACAAACTTGATGCTCGAGGCGTACATCGACAGCACTTGGGCACTTACATGCAGGCCAGGCTGCTCAGAAGCTGGCTTATCGAAGCTGACCTTGTTGGCCGTACGAATACCAGTTTTGCCCATGGTGGAATGGTTAAATTCAAAGTTGATTGTATCAGGCAAGTGATTCTAAGACAACAGGCTGAGATGAAATGTTCACTTGTCGTTATGAGATTGAGTGCCAGAACAGGTCGCTCTGCTTCCTAGTGTGGTAAATATACATGCAACCAAGCCAACGTCTCCAAACTACCCCGCCCTGAGCTCCTCGGAACTGTCTCACCCAGCGAATGAGACGCCTTTCTCTCCTGCCTCGTCTGGCTATCTATCCCGAGTATGGGATTATCCCCAACTGTCCTCTATGAGACGGGAGTGGTGGTGGCTGCTGGGAGTTGCAAGTGCGGAGCTGGGTGCGGGCTGATAAGAGCTTTTGCCCGATACCGTAAGAGGCTTGTGTCTGGCAACCCCCGCATTGGCTCCGCCCGTCGGCCAGTCTCCAAAAACCAATCGATAAGACGCCGTAGTGATCTCATGTCGCATGACTGCTCCTATCATAAACGTAATTGATTGGAATCCGGGGGTTGGCTATCTCGGCATCTGTCGTTTACGCCTTGTCGGCCCCCTTCACCCGTCCTGTTGCAGAAAAGAGCATTGCAAATGTCCGCAGAATGTCACCCTATCCCGGCATGTCTGGATTCACGCGATTTAGTTAAGCCTACGGATAGCGACCCCCGAAAAGTGATAGACGAACAGACACCCTCGCCGTTCCCTTGCCATTTGCCTACTCGTGCTTTTGAGCATCACCTGTCGGGTTGGCCGGCCGCGACTTGAGGTGAATGGCATCAATATCGCCGAGGGAGAGGTTGAGGAATTCGTGCTTGTTCGTCCACTCCTGCTGGCTCGCGGCGAAAGCAGCCTTCTCGGCGGGAGGCGGGGGAGGATCGGTAATCTTGGTAATCAGGTACGCCGTTGAGGCCTCTGCGATACCATAGATCAAAACACCAACAAGGGGGATCTTAATCAATGTATAGAACCCGATGGCGAAGCCGAACAGCAGTCCCTCGCGGTTCCGGAACCAGTTCCTCTTCTGCTCCTTGGTAAAGTGCACACGAGAGAAATACGGCTCCAGCAGCTCTCTCATCAAACTCCTCGACGCAAAGTAACTCTGCAGGAAGATGACAATGTACCGCTTGGGCAAGAAGATGCCTGTTCCAAAGATGACAGACGCAGGACCCAATCCAACGGCATTGTTGAATGTGTAGAAACTGGCCGCGGGCAGCACGAATCTACCGACGATGGGTAGGTACGACAAGGCGAATACGGCGAGGGAGATGGCACCCTTCCGAGCGAAGCGGTATAGGAACATGCTGATGGCTTCGGCCGTGCTAGTCGTGTGGGTGCTGCCGTCGCTGACCTTGTACATCTTGAGGTTGGGATAGTACATATCTCGAAGCTTGGTCGGGTCTTCGTGCTTGTGTTTTTGGACATACGTCTTATCAACCCAGTTCAGCGAGTCCATAAACCTGCCTCCGCGTTAGCATAAGACCCAAGGACTGGGGGCAAGATGCGGACTTACATATTGTCGAGCGTCGGGGTGACGTAGCGCATCAGCGCCATGAGGAAAAAGGGGACCTGCAAAACATATTCCTCGATGAAGTTGAGGCCCCCAACAAGCTGGTCGTCCCAAGTGACATGGTCCAGGCTCAAAAAGAAGGACAGAATCCAGAGAAAGACTCTGACGCCAATAATCTATTGCGCTGTGTCAATACCTGCTGTGAGGAAAACAGGAGTATCTCGGTGGTTTTTCGTGCTCCTGGCGCAGGGGTTGAAGGTATACATACGGGAATGGAGATGACGAGACGGATGGCAAGGCCACTCAAGACAGCAATGCCGGCTTGTCGGTAGTGGTCCGATGTGAACAAGGCAGGGTTTTGAAGGGCTCGTTGAGCTTGTTGGCAGTTAGCATTTTGAGCTGTGTCAATAAACTCCAAAGGAATGGAGTCTGGACGCTATGTCCGTGGTTCCATCAACTGACCTCCAACCAGCGTCAACTGGATGCCCCGCAGGATTTGGTTCAGGTCGAAGTGGGAGAGGTCGAACTCCCGCTTGAGCCTCTCCTTGTCAATGGGAAGCTTGTCGAGCTGCTTGTCAATCTGGCCTTCAAGCTTGTCGCGCCTTTGACCCTTTTCAGAGGTCGCCATGTTTTCTCGAGGGTGTGGAAGTGACGATGCCGATCACCACGAACGTTGCTGGGTGTTGAGGTTTAAAATGTCGAGGGTCTTGGAGGGGCACGCGAGCTGTTGCGACCTTGTCAGCGCAGGGCTGGTTGCTTGGCCGGGAGCTAAACTTGCTGGGAGCTGGAGCTGGGTGTGGAGGGCAGACGATGACGACACACATACCGGGGGTTGGTGGCTGAGAGACCTAGCACCTCACAACGCTGCCCTGCGACCGGTACGTCCGGAAGGTCGGATGGTCCGAGCTTCACCGAGTGCCGGGAAGCCCCCGTAGTCCTTATCTTATCGATATCAGAGATAAGATCAACCAAGTGAGTCCAGGAGCTTCAAATGCCTTGAGGTAAGGTACGTGGGTACCTAGCCCGGTAGGTACTTTCGGTACTGAACCACGTGAACCTACCAAACCACACAATTGAGGCGCCTCAGAGGCAGAATCATTCGCTTGTATGAGGGCGAGCTGCATAGCGATGCATCATCGCAGAGCCAGTCAGCTCCGATGATCGGGTGCAAGTGGATTAAACATTGGGAGATGTGGTACCGGTTCATGTCGAGTTGCCGCGGCTGTGGCTGCGGCTGCATTGCGCACGCGTCGGACTTGCATCCCAGAACGCGTCCCTGTGCTAAGAGCTGGAACCCCTGCATGCATTGTTCAAAGCTCGACAGCTCGAAGCTTTGAAGCTCAGAGCTTTCAATGGACCAATGGCAGGTCCCTGAATTGTTAACCCCCAGGCATGCTGAGGCCCTTCAGGGTAGGTATAAACCCCAGGCGTTATATCTGCAATTGAATAAGGCGGCTGTTGTCATGGGGGACCCGAGGCTCTTGAAGCTTTTTTGGAAACCTCGGAAGCTAGTTTCTGGTTGAGAATGCGGTGAGGGCTGAAATGACAAGGCAACACGAGCTCTCTAAGCCTCAATTTGTCAAAGGCGAGGATTGCAAGTGCGGAGCTGAAAAGGTATCCGTAACCAAATATGAACACTGCTGAAAATGCCAGGTTTCCACTGGATTTATGTTGAGGTTGCCCCGTCTCATCTTTGCCGTTTTCTTCTAAGCGAACATTACAACGCCTGGGCTCCCCCATATCGATCTCCATACTTATACGCAGTACGGACAGTCATGAAAAAAGTTAAGGGTATATTTTGGCTGGGATACGTCGGCTGTCCCCGGTGTGACCCCCCTAATGGATTGTGGACGCGGCACCTTATTCGCGAAGCGACTACGACGTGCAATCTCCAGGTTGGCTCCAGATGGGGCCGGGCACATCACGAGGGCGCGCGCTTCAGTGAGCCTAGTCATCCTAGCTTGTTCTCCAGATCTATCTAGGTGGTCTCCGTGCATAAGAAGACGGGGCAAGTGAGAGATCAAAGCAAATTGGATCACAACAAGATGGGCGATGAGAATCTAGCATAGCAGACTCAGATCAGGTATGAGAGACAGTGAGTGAGGGGGCGAGTGAGTGAGAGAAAGAGAGAGAGAGGCATGTGAAAGCCAATCAGGATATGCTCGAGTGAGTGAGAGGGTTCGTTTTGTCTCAAACTCCCGCAATACTGGAATTGAGGGTCTCTCCTATAATTACCAGGTGGCAATGCATGTTCAGCATCTCTCTCCTGTGTACAGGGTATGAGTCTGCCAGTGTGTTTGAGCATTAGCAATCAACTCGAACGAGGTAAAGTGAGATGATGAAGTACGTCAGGCAAGGAATGATCCAGGAGAAAGGGAGTGAGAGAGAAAGTCTCATCGTACGGCTACAGGGTCGAGTGGTTAAGGACGGTGCCCAGGTGGGTGCGGGGCGCGGGGGGCCCATCGCTATCAAACGGCGACGCGATGGTTCAGGAAACCGGCAGCGTCAGAACCCCCCCGTCGGGCGCGTGTTTCCTCCAAAGCCTCGAACGAGTCCCCAAGAAGCCGTGACATCGTTAACCCCTGGTCGAACCATGAGCAAATCCCAGATCCGTCCAAGCTTCATCATCTTTTGTCCATCCATCCATTCATCCATCACCCACGTCCGCCGCGCCCACCCCCCCCCCCTTCCCTGTCGCCCTGCCTCAATCTCAATTATCAAAAACCTTTTTTCTTCCCTTCCTCTTACTTCCCTCCGCTCTCCGCCTTCCGGTCCCTCCTCCTCTCCTCATTCGCTTCTCCAGGGACACTCTACACACCCATCTTCTTCTTCCCTTCCATTCGCTACCTATCGTGTGGTGGCACAAGTGTTTCTTCTTCATCTGAAGGGTACTGAGACCGGAGCAAGACATTTTATTTTCTACCTAGGTTGCCGATTCTCGCTCGGCTCAAAAGGGAGTCCACGTCCTTCCGCGCCGCTGCATCAAGCCCGTTTGTTTGCCCGTTTCTCGGATCCCTCAAAATTTACCCCCTTGCTACGGCCAGCATATCAGTCTTTCGCTTCCGATTTGCACCACCCTATTCTCTCGACCAAGGCCGGCGCGCTAAACCTACGCGACGCAAATCGATAACGCCCAACGAACGTCACCACCGACGACAACTTCCTCCTCTCAAGGCCTGTCATGTACTCGGTGTCAGTTCCGACATGACCCAGGTCCGACTCGTAGCACTCGCCCGTCAGCTGATAGTTCCCGCACGTACTTGACGACACTGCTCTCCTCTGGCCGAGCTGCCACACTCTCCCTTTCCCTAGGAATTCCGCGATGGAATCTCTACGCCCTGCCTATCCGGCTCCTCGCCGCGTCGCAACTGCCCCGATACCAGCACACATGTCACGCCCGGCACCGTCCACATCGGCCGGTGGCCTAGTCGAGACACTATACAACCACCCAAATGTCAAGATCGTAGCATTCGCTGCTGCATCCAGAGGCCGAGCTCGGAGTCCAGGTCGCGGCCCTTCAGATGAGCCCGGCTCTTTGTCTGCCCACTCGCAGCTTGAGAGGACGATTGCCATTGGTAAGTTGCGCAAGTCCATCAACGTTCTCATGGCCATTGCTGATTGGGGGCCATCCCCATAGGGCCGTTCCGAATATACCGTACAGGATCCGTCGCCTTCTTGAACTGCGGCTCTGCTCTGCAGCCAATGTTACCCAAAAGCCAATGCTGGGCCCTCGCCGAAGACTCTAGCAAATTCGTCCTACAAATTCGCCGACCCAATTACTGGAGGATTGAGATTCCCGTCACCAACGCCGATGAACAGGAACTGGCTGCGGCACTGAAGGGTGTCTGGGATCAAATATTGCAATTCGAGAAGACGGAATGCCCTTTCAAACGGTCCTTCACGGTCATCCTCCCCGAGAAACCAAAGACACCCGTGAAAAAGCGACCATGGACACCCCCGGTTAAACGAGCCCTACCCGTCCTTTCGACCCCAGCTCACGAAGTCGAGGTATCACCGACGCCAAAAGCTTTGACGCCAAATACTGGCAGGAGAGCTTCGACATCTTCCCTCCGCGGCCGAAGCGAGCAACGCCGGCTCTCCACTATCAGCAATGACTTTCACTCAAGCTCAAGATCCTGTGATCCGAGTGCCGAGATATCGAAAGCGGCAGAGCCCACGGATGCCGCGCTGACTCCCACAGCCGAGAGACCAGCAGAATTGAAGATTCCGAAGCGCGGAGCGGAGGTAACCCGCAATATCGCTAGCAACAATATGGCTCAAGAGGTGACCGATGAGGAAGGTCCTACGTGTGACGTGGTCAAGATGGAAAAGACGGAGCCAAAGGGGAGTCACGAAGAAGCCACATTCGAGGACTCAATCGCTGAGGAAGAGGAGCCCGAAGATGAGGTTTGCCGAAAAGATCTGACGGTTCCCGCCGAGGAGCCATCAGCAAAGTCACCAGGAGTTCAAGTTACGAATGGTGACATTGGCGGCATTGATGCACAAAGCAACGCTGGCGAAGAGGTGACTGCCGCTGCGGTCTCACCAGCATTGCATGCCGCACCGCTACAAGCACCTGTGACAGTACCTTCGACGGAGATGGTCGATCGCGAAGAGGACACCCAGGGCCCTGAGGTTCCCCAAGTTTCCATCAAAGTCGACGACTCATTGACCCAGCCAAAGGAAAGCAAGACAGACACCCAGGTGGAGACTCTGGTGACTGTTGAGCGGCCAGTGACTGGTCATAGGCTGCCAAACGACATCAAGGAACAGCTCGTCACTGTGGAGGCATTGCCCAAAACACCTCTGTCGGCTGAGGCAAGCACACCGACGCCCACTAACATTTATGACGTGATCCGGAACTACGAGATCAAGATGGCCGCTGCGGTTCCCGAGTCTACGCCGGCCACTAAACCTGTCGCCGAGCCCGAGGCTGTTTGCGAGAAGTCAGCGATAGAGACGAGGAATACCAGCGGGAATGGGTCAAGCAGCGAATCACAGTCCGCGACAGACGAAGAGACAGTTCTCGAAGGCAGTGGGGTTGTGGGTAGCAGAAGAAAGAAGCTTCGCGGATTCAGAGCCGGCAGGGCTCTGGTTCCCCCACAATTGACCCTTGTTACCTCGCCACCGTCAAAGTCGGCCATGAGATCGACTCCGATTCTGGATGAAGCAACTTCACCAACTGGATCTACAGATTCGTTCCACAGCTCAAAGTCATGGCACTCGCCCGCTCAGTCGCCAATTACGCCTGTCCCAAGATCTCCTGCCTCAGACGTGTCCCCAACGAGGTTCCCATACCCTCACGACAATATTCTTATTCCTAAGAAGCCTTGGCACTACCGCGACATTTCCGATCTGACTGTGACACCGGAGACTCGGCGAACTTGGGATGCGACTTCGTCTCTGACCGACGACAGCTCGTTGGAGAGCGCTGCTACTGCGCCAGACATGGTGTCTGAGGTGGTTGAGCAGCCTGACAAGGTTGCTCTTTCCGAGGACGAAGCAGCAACTACAGCTGTCGTGCGTCGCCCGTACATTCGACACAGATCAACCACCAGCAGCATCTCCGTCGGCCGCAGAGCGCTCTCCCCTCTGCCGACGGCGGCCAACCTTTTTGCGCCCACGAGTACCCAGGCCAGGTACCACCCCCTGAGAAGCCGCCTGGAACTCGTCCGCAGACTTCCCATGGCCATTGTATCCAAGACCTGCGAGGTTCTTCTGGGTCCGCCGAGTCATCTCATTGCGCTGATGCTCCAGGTGGCTGCTAAGATCGCCGCCGGGCAGTGGCGCGGTATGATGTTCGGGTTCGGCGAGGGCGGCGAGACGATCCCCGTGCAGTGGGACTACTCTGACGACGAGTACGATAGCTGGGGCGAGAACGACGATTATTATCTCAGCCAAGTCGAGTCATCGCGTGCGAATAGCGTGATTGGCACCGACGACGGCGAGAATGACGAGGCCACCGACAACGCGAACGGAACGGGTCGCGGGTGGGAGGTTGACTGATGGGGCCCCAGGTGGCATCAGTCTGTAATGATTTCATGTATGACCACTGTATGTTTTTAATCGCCAGGAACTGCATCTAGGATGGAAACTTCTTTCTGGGCGTTTTTTTTCCTTTTTGGAGAGAGTAGAGGAAGCAAGCTACACGAAGCGGGCCTTGGATTCTGGAGAGGTTTCCACGCGTGCAGATATCCCGACAATATGTGGCGTCACATCCACGTTGGGTCCTGGTTCTTTCTCTGATGTATAAACACTTTTGGGAACGGTGGAAAGGGATATGAGGGCACTTGAAGGGTTTTTGGCCACTTTTTGATTGGCATTACGAGGCATTTAGTCCAGTACGCTGGCCCCGCCAGGTACTATTCAGGGATGAATTCATTTCACGATTTCAAGAGCTTGTTACAGTGCCCTGCGTGCATTGCTCATGAGTGTAAGCAGCCACACTTGGTCCTCGGAACGTTAACCAATGAGAAGAATGGACTCGAGAGGCTTAGGCAGTCTCGTGGGGTCATCTTTGCAGAGCGCTGCGTGCCGCATTGCTCATAGAATCCCCAACGAGCCGGTTAGTCACCGTCGAGCCGACAGTATCGGGTACATCTTCCGGATTATCGACCAGACTGTACCAAAAGACTGGGAAGGGCCACGAAACCCAATGAAGATCAAACACACGAGATATACGACGGGATGACAGCTGACAAGGGCCTACCTACCGGGCATGCACTTGGCTCTTAGGCTGGGCTGTGTCTTGGGCTGATTCAGGCACCTCGAATCTTTGGAGATTTGAAAAACGCCCCCCACCGTTGTCGAAGAATCAAGAACGAGACTGCGACATTGTTGAAGCTTAGCTCTTTCGTGGGGCGTTCGAGGTGTTGTCAGTCGGGTCATCTTTCTGCGCGCGTCGTATTTGAGGGATGGATGCGATTGGTTGATGGCGACGCCTCGTGAGGCTGATCTTGGGGGGGCTTGGCGAGCGTATTCGTCGGGTTACGGTTTCGAGGTATTCAGGATACCGAAGCAGTGGGCAATTGGAAGATCACCGAATGTGGAAGTGCATATTTCCTGCTGACGGACGAAAAGGTCTGTTTGTACAAGTGTGTGTGATGCCTGGTGTTGATAAATGTATAAATGAACGTGGGACGGAAATCCTCTTCAACTGGTTATATCCTCCGGGACTCTAACACTACAACCCGGTTTCTAAGTGCTATGAAAAGTCCCAACTCCTCAGAATCTACTTACAACTGGTTCTCTATCAACTGAAAAAACGAGAAACTCCTAGAAACTGGTCAGGCTTGGGGAACAGTGGAACAAACATGGAGGACGGCACGTATGGTAAGAATGAATAACCGCCCCTGGCAGGCCCCCTTTTACTTACAAGAAATCCAAAAGTCGACGGGAGCTACTACTTCTACGCCCCAAACAAAGCAGCACCCATCTTCTTCGCCGTAGCGTTTGCCGCCTCTGGTACACTGCACTTTTGGCAGAGCTAGTGAGTCTATTCCAATACCGTGTGCTCGGTCCAATTCTAAAAGCAAACGAACCCAACTCCAATCTGAAGGGAAGAGCAACGTTTTTCCTGACTGACAGCTGATGTGGGATCCAGTCACTACAGGTTCTTCAAAGTCACCGCCCTGTTCTCCTTCTGCTGCCTCCTCTTCACAGCCGGCTTCGCCGTCCGCACCTACGGCGCATGGCACTACGACGACCTCAACATCTTCATCGCGAGCGTGTGCCTCATCTACGCAGCTCCGTAAGTAACCACCGTTCTTCTCAAATCCACAAATCCCACAATGAGCGAAAAGAAAAACGAAAGGAGGAACCCTCTACTCACCCCCTTTTCCCAAGACCCCTCCTGGAACTAGCAAACTACAACATCCTAGGCCGCATTCTCTACTACGCCCCCTATGCCTCCCCCCTCCACCCAGGCCGCGTCCTCACAACCTTCGCCTTCTTCTCCAGCATCGTCGAAGCCCTGAACGGGTGGGGCGCGTCTTACTCCGCAAACCAATCCCTCACCCAGCGGGAACTAGAAACAGGCCACGCCCTCATCAAGACAAGCCTGCTCCTCCAAATCTTCGTCCTCGCCTCCTTCACAGCTCTCGCCGTCGTCTTCCACCGGCGGTGCGTCGCCGCCGGCGTAGCGTCCGTACGCGGCGTAAAGGGCCCGATGGTGACGCTCTACATCAGCGTCGTGCTCATCTCCGCGAGGACGTTGTTCCGCGTCGTAGAATACTTCAGCCTCGCTCGGGTCCGGTTCGACGCGCAGACGAAAGAGGGCGATGTGCCCCCCGCGGTACGCTACGAGTGGTTCTTTTACGTCTTCGAGGCGAGCCTGATGCTGGCCAACGTCTGCATGTTTAATGTCAGGCATCCGAGGCGGTATTTGCCAGAGCGGTATACGATGTACCTTGCCCCGGACGGGGTCACCGAGGTGGAAGGGCCGGGTTGGAAGGATCCGAGGGCGTTTTGGGTGACTGTTGTTGATCCGTTTGATGTGAGGGGGTTGGTGAAGGGGAGGGATCGCGGGATGGAGAGGTTTTGGGAGAGGGGTGATGGTGGGAGGCATGGAGGGACCGAGGGGGGTAGAGAGGGGGAAATGGGGAAGGACGGTGTTTGATGAGTTTTATAAGTGTGGTGAGCGAGGTTCGCCGTGATTGTTTGGTGTTGTACTGAGCTTGTATTTTCCTGTTTCCATTTCTTGCTTTCCTCTTGTTCAGTGTGATCAAGCCTGTAATTGTAGTCGGCCGGTCGTGGTTGAATATATCCAGACATTTCTGGCAACGTTCGTCTCTAGGTAATCTGGCATGGCATCTAAGAAAGCAGAATCGAATGTGAGAATGTTTCACCTCAGTATAGAGGCATTCTCGACGATACAGACCGAGCTTTCTGTCCATACACCCCATGACCGTTTCGTAGGTAACGCCCCATGGCAAGTAATGGACCTGGCCCAACAATATAACCATTTCATCTTACACGCGTTAGTTGGTGCAAAGTAAACGACCGGTCATCACTTACTTCATGTTTTGAGGTCGATACGACGCAGCAAACCTGGACCATCGTCAGCGCCCTGAACAGGCGGGTAGAAAGCATCATATCAGTAATTAGACTAAGAATTGGGGCAATGCTCATCATACTGAAGTATGGAGCTCACTTTCGGTAATCAAATCATCACGTCCACGACCGACAAACAGAAGTCTTCATACAAACAAAATCCATGGGGTATGTCTCATTCAGCTACATTCGGTTTCATATAAAATGGCTAACACCAAGGCCGATGGCCAACGATTAGCATCCCTCACCCGTCTCTCACCTGCCTCAATCACCCACCACCTGTGGTATCAAGCGGGTTCATCCCGACAAGTACTTCATACGTAGAAGGGAAGGTGTGAAAGAATACAGACAAAAGACGAAGAAGGCTTCCAACCAATCCGGCCTTTCATAAATGCTTGATCGCTTCTTTTCTAAGTCCATTCCGCTCCGCAAAAATCATCCTTAGCCAGCACCTCCTATATAGAAAGATCTCAGACCAGATAACCGACCACCGGGGTACAGGAAGGGCTGCTTTTCTTTTGCTGTCCTTTCCCGCCTCCAAGAGGTAGAAACTTATGATGCCAATCTACCCAAAATGATGTCGGTGTGGTATCGCAAGCTGGTCAGTTCCGGCCGTAACAGCGAGTAACTGATCATCACCCGAATAAAATAGATTTGCGTTCTGACCCCCGGTCCATGACGCCTCGTGTACCTTACGTAGAGAAAATGTCAAAGTTCCTAGAAATGTTCAAGAAAAAATCGCCGGGGTGATATCAACCATCTTTGTTGGTGCCGCATCTGGGCACTAGGTATTACCAGGCCATCGCCACAAGACTTTGGGAAACGAAAGTATAATGGTATCTCGACAGAAAGGGCGTGCGCTTGGACCGATAGCATGTGAGTTGCGCGTAAGATAGATAGATGGATGAGTGACCATTGTCGCTCTCTCGTTATTCTCGTATGGATGTCATTCCGCCGCCACTACCGCCTTCGAGAAGAGGCTGACTCGGTGGAGGCATGCCTTGGTGACTTTTGGAGACGGAAACAGACGTGGCAGGTGTGCCATTCCCTGAACTGTCGCTAGGTCTTGCTGGCGTGCTGCTGCTGGCCTTGACTTCGTTTTGGAGCTGAGACGAGTGTATGGGCGAGTTCGACTTCTTACTGAGTGCGTCTGCGTTGGTGTTTGCGCCTCCTCGAGACGAATTGCGCGGTGAAACCCGTCCAACCTAATCCTGATTAATATCGTCGTCCTCCACTCGGCTTACTACAGAGGGCTCGGCGCTTCTCACCTGCTTTGCCCAGCGTAAACCGCAGCTGTTGCAGAGGTCTCTTTGACCACTAGGACCTCGTCGCCATTCGGGCGTATTGCGCGTATGGCAGTTGGCGCAGTCGCGGACGACATTGCCTACTCCCTTTCTCCTCTTTCTCTTCTTCTTATTCGATAATAGGCCACCCAGCTCTTCAGCAAGGATCCTATTGACCTTCTCCATCTGGCGGAGCTCGAATTGCCAGCTGGAGCACTTTGTCGTTCGCAGCTCGTCGAAAATGTTGTCGTCCGAGGCTAGAGCAGCATCCTGCGACCCGTGCATCGCTTGCCCGCCCGGTAGTGACATCGGCCCGGCCTTTGCAAGACCGGTGCTCTGTGTTGCGAGTTGCACATTCTGGTTGACCTGAGAGGTTGATTTGACGCTTCCTGGGGGTGTAGCCGCCGGTGCGATGCTCCTCGACGATGCTTTGAGAAGTTTGGTCTGCGCCAATAAGAACGTGGGCTTCTGACCATCTGAGGCATCTCCAGGATACAAAATGGTTTGTGCCTGAAGTACCTGTCCTCTCCTGTTGTGAACCTCATGTTTGCATGTCACTATTTTGCCTCTCCTTGCCTTTTCGATCGCTCGGCCAAATTCGGCACGACTCTCTCTGCGCATGAGCTCCTGCATGCTGGTGCCTATCAGGGTGTCTGGCTGCAAGTCGAGCAAAGACCGAATGTTAGAAGACACGAAGAGAAACATGCCGGATACCGAAATCTTGGTCCATAATTCGCTGTCGCCAATGCCTCCGTGCGCTTCGAGGTCTCGCCGGCTCAATGCAAAAACGGGTCGTTTTCTCCCTACCAGAATGATACATTTTCTACCTTTTCCGTGCTCGAAGAATAATGAGCCGTGGCTTTCGAACCACGTGTAGCCACTTTGCTTCCGCCTTATGCGGAAGACAATGTTGACCGAATTGCCCGCCGTGGCGTCTTTGAGTTCACGGGTAACGGGCACAATATCGGACGGGTGACATACGGTCGAAAGGGAATTGCCCACCAGCTCCGTCGCGTCGTACTCCAAGACCCTCTTGCAAGAAGGTGATAGGTAGAGGAACAGCCCTTTAAGTGAAAGAACGTGGACAACGTCGTCGGTGTTTTCGAGAAGCATCTTATCCCAAGACTGCTTGTGCCAGTCAGACACCACACCCTTGGGGTTGAATTGCTGTAGCAGGGTAGACACGTCGTCGACACCCAGCGTCTGTCCATTTTCGGCCTCGACAGTGTTTTGATTCGGGGGTGTCCAAATGTACTGGCCAATGTCGCTATGTTTGTAGTTGACCTTGACACCGCCTGCGTCCTGGCCCTGAGAGATGGCATCTGGGCATTCGACGAGATCGATTTGAAAGCCAACGAAGAACCGCACCTCGTTGGGATCGTCCCACGGGATCGGAATCATTGTCAAAAGATTTAGGAAAGGCTTGCCGCCCTTGCGATAGTTGATCAAACTTTGCTGAACCTCGCGGCCTTCTGCAATCTTCTTTTTGAGGTTGTAGACTGACGCATCGTCCACGAATTCACGCTTCGAGCCAGCTTCGACCTTGGCATCGGGAGCTTGCAGGAACCGACAATTTTGGCCGACAATTTCATGACGGCTGTAACCCGTCAAGTTCTGGAAGTTGTCGGAAACGTAGATAATCGGGCAGTCATTCAGTGAGACGTCGCAGACCACAAACGCGCAGGACATGTCCACGGCGCCAAGATGAATCTCGGGGTCCTTTCTTGTAGCGACGTACCATAACGCCCGCATCATATCGAAGCCGCTCTTTGAGTAGACGTTCTTCTCTTTGGACTCTGCACGAGGTGTTTGAGGCCCCATGGCGGGAGTGGTCTCTGCGGTTGCGGCAGGTGCAGCAGAGGCTGCTGTCTGGCTCGTTGCCATGGATGATGATCGGTTATTGGGGGACTGCGAAGAAGCCTGACCAGAGTTGGTTGACACCTCGCGGGATAATGTTGACGGAGTTGTCTGAGGACCACTTGAAACAGAGCCGAATTTGGGCACTTGGGCAATTGGTCTGTTCGAGTTGTCTGCTGGCGTTTGGTATTGCTGACCCATACTCAAAGCCTCGTTGTCGGCGTTGTCGATATCTAGTGGCGTGTCGAGGGCAGACTGTGGTGCTGTTCCGGGTGTTTCATCGGCTCCCAGATCCATGGTCATGTCGTTGGCGGTCGTGTTGAGAGGGCTCGGAAAAGCGTTGGCCATGGATGTTTGGCCGTACATATTCATACTTGACGTAGTCGGCATACCCATGTTGGCGTACGCCGGAGGCATCATCGAACTCATCATATCGGGAGAAAAGGTGGTGAATGCATTTGTCGGCGACATCTGCAGTCCGTCTTGGGTAGCGTACGCCTCCATGCCTCCAGGTATGGAAATGTTGCCGGGAACACTGTTGCCCATCCCTCCGTTATTCGTCATGCCACCGTCCATGCCGCCATTCATGCCGTTGCCCATTTGGCCGGCCATATTAGAAAATTCGCCGTTCATGGTTGGGTTTTGGAAGGGATAGTTGAGCATCTGATTGTCATCAGCGCCGAACTCCATCATGGACATCCTCCTGTCGGCGCCGGCGTTTTGGGCGTTCTGGTTTGAGGGCATGTATGGTTGGTGTATGCTGCGGCGCCGTTGCAGTTCATGGTTGTTACTGTTGATAATGTCGTCGAGCGAGTCGCCGTTGCCGCCCATCATGGACATGCCATGGCCTTGGTTCATTTGGTGGTAGCCGTGGCCGCCTCCTTGGCCTTGGCTCTGCATCTGGCGTTGCTGAGACTGTTGCGACATCTGTCGCTGCAGCTCTTGGGGAGTGAGCTGCGGGTAGAAGGCCTCCATGGCGATCGCATCGGTGTCCCAAGGACCTTGTCGTTGATGGTGGGCCAGTCGTCGTGTCGTCTCGTATCGGTCGATAGTGGTGGTGGGGTGCAAGAAGTCGTCGAGTGTTGTCGAGTCGCAACCAGTGGGTGGTTCGTTCAGCCGTCCAACTTGTACTTTTCTCTCCCGAGGCGCCGGCTTAAATAGTGCCACCGGTGCATACGGTCGGGGGTGCGATATCGCGTCACAATCCTCGTCCTCTTGTCATGGACCAGTACACGTATTGTAGGAGTTGTGAGAGGGAGGCCGTTGTGTGCTGCGGGAAAAGCAGGTTAGGGTGCCGGCAATTGAACGTCGGCCAGATGAGTATCGGTGGCCGGGTTTTCGGGATTGGTGAAGAGCGGGATAATGGCGTCGAGCGCGGTGGTCGCTTGGTTTTGCGAGGCAGAAATGCGGTATGCTGCGCGTTGGCGGGGGATGTCGTCGTGGGGTTGTTGATGTCGAGTCTTGTTGTGTCGAAGAATTGGGCGTCGGTGGATTCGGAGGCCGGAGGTGGTGGGAGCAGACGTGAGAAACAGTCGTGGGAGGACCCAGATTGGCTTTGTTGCGGGGAGAGAAGATGGAGTTTGATGGACGTTCTCGGTGGTTGATTCCAGTGTGCCCAGTCACCCACCTGGCAGTTTACAGAACGCAGTACGCAGTAAGTAACTATGTAACTATGTACTCCGTACCTTACGTAGTGGTGGGCGGACTGGCGAAGGGGGGAAGCGACGTGATTGGGGGCGGCATGGCATCAGGGCCCACGGCTCGGCGGCTGTTGTATAGGCATGTTCCTCTTGGAGCGAAGGAAGCTTGATCGGTACCTAATTACGTCCGAGAGATACTTGGCTTCACCTTGCCATCCACTTACCTTACCTTGGACGTGGGCGGGCAGCATTAAGGGCGAAAGAGCGGACAGTCACGGTCGCTTCCATCATTTGAGAGCCCGGTGCGCTGGAGTGGACCGGGGATGCTGGGTGCCACTGCCTATTCCCTTGCGGGTACTTCTCAGGTTGGGTTTACATTGGAAAGACTCGGCGCGTTTGGGTAGCGACGGACTGGGACGGGGACGGGGAGGAAACGAGACGGGGAGGAAACGAGACGAGAGGTCCCTGACACCTGGGAGTCGTCTACCTAACCACCCTTTCTTCAATAGTGCCCGTGCTGATCCGGCATGTTTTGGCGGCGGGAGGTTGCCTGCCCTGCGCCATGCACACAGTAAGTGCCTACTATGTTATATGCCTATTCCTGAATCCTCTGTGAGTCTGTGTCTGTGACTGAGGTATCGCCCACCGCCGGAGGAAGACCACCGAGACAGGGCATGCCGGCCTTGGGATCTTCGGCATGGCACATCGTTTCTACTGTAAGTTTGTACGACTCCAGGCCCCGTTCTCTGTCCTTCTCCTCGGTTCTTGGCCTTCACCGTATCCGTAATAAGGTACTACCTTGGTTTCACCGGGCACGTGATGGCGATGGGCCATCATGCCCCAGACAGGCTCGACAGGGTGAAAATGATCCGGTTGATTCTATACAATTGCAATAGTTTAAGCAGCCTTTTATGCGAGAAATCAATCAACACGGCATGAGGTGAATGGCTGTTACGGAGAACTGCCCTACCCGGAAGTTTGGAGCCACCAGAAGCCAGAGGAGAAGAAGAAGGCCCAGATAATCCCATGACAGGAATGATGTGCCGAGCGATATGCCCTATGTGAGTGAGTCCGGAACAGAGCCGGTGGGAGAGAGTTAACACGCATGGATTGCGCATGGCAGCACTATGCTGAGTGAAGTCAGAGACTGTCTAAAGTTTGAAGACTGCGGCTAGCTGAGGTGGGTGGTGAACACGAATTGAATGGAAATGGGCCGGTCAAGCAGCTGCGATCCGCCGTGGATCTGTGGTGTTCCGATTTCTCGGCCGTGGCAGAGTCGGGTGGAATGTTGAAGATGCTGCCCGTGGCTGACGGGACGCGGGTAGGTGTCCGTACCTTAGTTTTGGTGCATGGCATGCAGCATCTCGTGGGAACAGGGCATCCATCCCCCACCTGTGTCATTGGGCTTGCTGAGTGAGTGAATGAGTGAGGAGGTCCAGTAAGGCGCAAGGCTTGGTTTTTCCTCTTTCTTGCCTATGAGAATGCGCCGACTGTAAGCCCCCGTGGCCCCCAAGGCTGCTCCCAAGAGTCCCCAACACTCAAGAGGTGCGTCTGAAGAATGCCAGCAGCAAATGGAATGGTAAGTAAGGTATGCGCCCGCCGTGCCACAGGATAACGCCAATCGTGCTCGAGAGAAACCTCTTTCGTCATCATATGGGGGGTGCTGGGTCTCAATACGCGCAATATACATCATCTTGTATCCAGGTCTGGACCAATGTGTAGGTTGTCTGGAAGTACCTCTCAGGTGGGGAGGGAGGACCCCACCCTTTCATCCAGGCTGGACGCTGAATGGAGGGAGAGGCGACAGAAGGAGGATACGTACCGTGTACCTGTATTGATTCCATGTTCCTCCAACCAATAAACGGGCCGCCACACTTTCCCATGTTTTCCATGATTCCGACAGATGAGCATTACTTGTCCCATCCAACCTTGCCAACTTGCATCTACACAGCATATTGGCTTGTTGAATCCCTTCGTTACTTTGTCACTTCTATCCCTCAAGTACCTTACAACCACATGTTATCTGACCCAACTTCAACAGGTGCCTAGGCCACCGTCTTCCAGATACTGAAAACGGCACTCACGTACGCAGCAGCATAGGAACAGGGATGGGCCTGCGAGCGGGACAAGCACGGACAGAGTTGACTTTTCCCCAGCAGAAATCCATTTCGTCATTTCTCCTGGGGCCTTGCCGCCTTGGACAGCCTTAAATTGTACCGACACTCACCCACACACACACACATACCCGGGATAATACCAGACCAACCCAAACAGCTGCGGCACCAACTCCCACTGAAAGTCTCCCACCCCCTTGGCACCCTTGACTCCTGACGTGCTCACAACCAACACTTCCGCACCGCATTCATACACTGCCTATTATTTACGGTATCACAAAAGTAACAAACATCAATTGCACCCAAGCTCGAGCAGCAAAACGAACCGTTGGTCCCATCCCATCTTTCTCTTCCGCCAACTACGGCACCACTTGCTGCAGTAGGTAGCACAGCAGGAAACCTATCATGTGAGGAGAGAACTTGAGCAAAGTGCATTCCCCATTTCATCTCCCCTAGCGTAGGTAGAGACTGCACACCTAGGCACCACGGCACCTAGGGTTTCTCCCATTCTCCCATTTCCAAATATGCATCGACACCGTCTCCCATCCATCCACTTTCGATTTCCCATGTCATCGGCGATCGACCCTCTCTGGCACTCTGCCACGCGCCCTCGATCTCTCCCTATCCATATTCGTACTCCATACACGGCTTTTCGAAAAAAATCCTTTCGCTGAGACTGGAAAGAAGTCCTGGCATAGCCTGGCAAGCCTTGGGGCAGCGGCCCGAACCTGGGTTAACCACAAACATCCTGCACCCAATGCCACCACCCGCCCGCTCGTCTCACACAAAAAAACAAAAACCTTCGTGATGCTTATTCACGATCTACCCGTCGTGCCCTCCGCCGTAAAGATCGCTGACAAGGCCCCTGAGTCGGCGGCAGCCACTTTGGCTGGCCAGCCAGCCAGCCAGCCAGCCAGTCCCCTCGGCAGCAGCCTCGTTCTAACCCCAAAGCTGAGATAGATGCCCCAAGCTCTCTGTCTACCTACCTAACCTTACGCCCTTACGCAGTATCTAGTTCTGCCTCTTTCCTGACTGAACCTGTCCTGCCGTGCCTGCCCGCGTCTCGGCGCCACATGAGACCTCAGCCGACCGCCACAAGCACCACACTCAACAGCGCACCTGTGGTCTGCCATGTGACTCTCGCCCACCAGATACCCCCAAAAGCAGTAAAGATCAGCAAAAGAATGGCATACCTCAATGATTTACTTTGTATGTTGCGAGTTCTGTTGGAAGTGATATCCGCCAATCTGAAGCGCTTCTCATCATCCAGATGAGCTTCTCAACACCATTCATATAACCATGTTCCGTCGCGTGAACCAAGCCATGCTGCACCCACGAGCTTGAACCCTCTCCCGGGTATTGGAGGAGTAGACACAGCAATCACCTTTTAGGCAGCCCAAGCCCGACGTCGTAAACGGATGCGAATCCGACAGTTCCTTCTCCTTGCAGCGAGCTGAGGCACGCGCACTTAAAGATAACGTAACGGGCATGCATCACTAGCATCTCCCCTCGCTCCGTCTTTGAACACCAACCGTGAACCTGACGTGCCCCTACCTATGCCCTCTGGTTAGCAGACCACAGCTTGAAACCAAAGTGCGCTTTCCGACGGGGTTGACGAAAAGCTCGGGAAACCACAATGCAAGAGAACCGTTAACGAGCAACACAAGAGCACCTCGCACAACAGTGAATCATTAGTAGAGACCCGCAGGCCGGGTATGATCCGAATATACCTAGTCATCCTTAGAAATCGAAAGCTCGGCGGCGTGCGTGATGCGTGTCTTTGTGTCTCTGTACGACGACGACGACGACGACGACGAAGGAAGCAAGCAATCTCCCGAGTAACAGTGCCACACAGATCCCCGTACCCAGCATGGCATTCTCACAATCGATGCAGAAGAGAAGAAAGAACGCGGTAACACCAGAATTACGCTTTCCCCCTTCGTGTGCCCCTCCTCCGCCTCCCCGCCATCCCCAACAATGGGAGTACGAAGAGGAAGAAGAAGAAAAGCAACGACCTTATCCGACTCCCGGCCCGACTTGACCTTGAACTTCCGAGATAGCAAGACCTGTCAAACATCTCACTAACGAACCGGGCCAGCCGAGCCAATACGTAGCCAAGTAAGAAGAGGAGTCTTCCCAGTGGCTTTCTCTACCACCTCTGTGTATCTAAAGTGTGCAGTGGGGTGTCAAAAGTTCGTGTGCAGCGCACAGTATCCCGCAAAAGTACTACTTTTCAACAGCGAATAAAACTTTAAATATAATAAGAAAAAGAAATCGAAAATCACTATATAACTAATTAACTATTATATTAGTATATATTTAAGTTACACTATGTTTTACTCAATTATAAAAGCGTTAAATAAATTTTTAAAAAAAATAGGTTTTGCGAGATTTTTATTATAGTAGATTATAGGGCCTTTTAAGTGCGAATAGCACTGTATCTCTGAGTAAATTCTTTTTTATTTTTTATTCTACTTTTATATTATATTATAAAGTACGAATATAACGTATTTTAAAATATATAAAAAATAGTTTTATATACTTTATATACTTAAATATTTTATTAAAACTTTAAATTATATTCTTTATACTTAAGTTAAAAAGATATCTATAGTAATAAAGAGACGCAGTTAGTGGGCTATAGGTGACGCACTGGGAGGGTGTACACGAACTTTTGGCACCCTACTGTATGTCAAGTGAGGTCCAGGGTGTAAGTCTGAACCACCACCCACCCCGCCATATCCGATTTCCCATGCCATTCGGTCCAGTAAGGAGGGGTGGCGAATAGACATGGCAATCCCATTTGCCCATGTGCAATTCTCCATTACCTGCCTTTTTTCTCCTTCTTTCTCGCTGAAGGATGTCATCAGGTATCCAATCAGCTTTATCAGTCCTGTGGCTCTTCAAGCAAACATCGTAACCCACCACTAAACATGCCACTGAACAAAAACGTCAAAAAATAAAAACATACAACACCAGGTATTCGCTGATCGTCACCGACTCAACTACTAATCTGGCCCTCATCGGCTTGTCTATGGGAGAGCGGACGGGATCCCGAATTCTCCGATGGGTGTGGTCGTATGTGCTTGTTCCCAGGTAGAAATTCTATTATATCGGACGTGAACGAGGGGAAGGGGGGGGGGGGCGTACCTTTGACCCCGGGACAGGATCATGATCAGAATACCGAGGAAGAGTAGAATAGAAGACAAGTCTAAAAGGCTGGCAACGCAGAGAAGAGTGACTCACTCAAGCTTCGTCCGTAAAGTCCCCAAAAAATGGTTCGATACGCCCCCCATCTCAGCTACCCCAAGCCCAGCACGTAAAAGACGCCATTCATTCCATAGCCACGTTCCAACTTGAGCTTCCTAGCTTCAGCTTTCGGCTCCAGCCTCAAAAGAATATGGCCGAGATGGTAGGAGTAAGACCGTTCAGTATCGTATACAGACTACTAACCTGCCTAGACTAAGAAGCTGAAGCTGAGACCCCTCCAAACCAAGTACGCCACCCAAGGCGTTTGGGCGTCAGGCGTTGCCGCTACTTTTCTTTCGAGATTGCCATTTCCGGTGCTCAGCTCGTTCAGCCTACTTCGGACTTTTCTTGACCAACGCCAGTGTACTGGGTCTGACAGGCATGGTTGGGAAGGCGAACAGATCACGGGTGCCAAGGAGGGACATCTCTTTCGTCGAACCCCATCGTCTTTCGTTTCTAACGTCACTCCGCCGTTCCTTCCCGGTGATACCTCACGATGAAGTAAACACTAACACCTGCTCGTTCAGGTTGACGCGTGTTCGTCCTTTTCGAGTCATGTTTCCAGTCATTGGGCATATCTCATCTGCGTGAATTTCTATTCGTAAAACAACCACTCCTCTCTATATCATCGTATTGCCATCACTTATGGCGCCGCTGAAGAGGGGATCGCTTAATGATGAAACGAGGGTTCAGTAGAACTAAACCCCCTGACAATAATGTCCGCCCCTCGCTGTTTCCTCTGTTTTTGCCACCGATATCGCCCTACGCCGGAACTTGGCTCCGAGTCTGCTTCAGCAGCTATCCAAGCCCAGCGCTGTTTCTCGTGCCTCATGGACCCTCCCTTAACCGTTCGGTGCTTGTGGTATCATCAACTGCTTCTCTTCTAGTACAGCGGCCCGCGGCGCCCCCAGCGCGTCTTCTTCGTTACGGGTGTGTGCAACACGTCATCCCAGAATTTCCTGCGCAAACTCATCTCCTAAGAAAAGTACGAGGTGATCGCTCTTTGAGATTCGGGCGAGAATTGCTGAAGCAGCGGCGTGGGGTCCACACCTGCCTGGGACAGAAGAGACTTGATGGCGGATACTACGCGGCTTGCAGTCTGTCCTGCCAGAGAGTCTGCCTCCAGAGCCTGTGCAGTGAGCACAAAGATCTTGCCAGCCTGGCCAACGACAGCCGGATGTTGCCTGAATTCACAAATTAGTATCAGTCATAGTTGACTACTCACGTCTTGGAGATTTACTCACTTGTCAATCAATTCTGCCAGGTAGGCGTAGGCGTAGGGTGCGGCCTCCTCGTCATTTGTGACGGGAAGAGTCTCGATCCACTGAGCCACAATGTTGTTGGGGTCCTGAACTGAGCCGGCGTTGAAGTGAAGAATCTTGGCAATGGCAGCACAAGCATTCTCCGTTGCGTAGACGTTGTCCTCACTCCGCGCCTCGGGAACCTGCGTCACTTGGAACAGGAAAGGCAGGGCGCCTCCCAGGAATTGAGCCCAAGGAAGACCGCCGCGGTGGGCTGCCACACCAATGCCGTAGGCCGCGGCCTGGCGGATGGCGGGCGAGGAGTCCCTGCAACCATCAACCAGGGGCTGGGTGATGAGGTTGGCGTACTTTTGGCTTTCGGTGCCGCAGTACTCCAGCACATCGTCCATGATGCAGAGACCCCATTGGCGCTGGGTAGGGTCTTCCGACTTGAGGAAGCCCTCGTACGTGGGAAGCAGGCGCTCCCATGATGGGAGGAAGGCGGCACCGTGGTTCTTGAAGATGGCGTGGAAGGCCTTGTTCATATCAGACAAGAGGGTCTGGTCATCTTCGATGGCCAACAAAACGTCCTCGGCCTCGTCTTCTGCATCCTCAGCCGGGAGACCCTCCTTGTCCTCAAGACGCTGGGCAACACGGTCCTTGTAGTCTTCGATGGCAGAGTGGACTGAGTCAATGAAGCGAGAGAGGTGATCGGCGGTGAGGCACTCCTTGCCAACGACTTCGACAGACTCGTAGAAGCACTGATACATCTCGGCAAGAGTATCAATCGCAGGTTCCGCGGTCAACACCTCGAGAAGCTTATCCACAGTCGCAGCCCAGAGCCCGGCGAGCTCATTTGATGGGCTACCGTACGTCTTCTTGTAGGAGCTCAGAAGCTGAGGCACCAACTTGGCCGAGATGAATCTGACGGGGTCGTGGAAGAAGAAGGCCAGACCAGGGAGGGCAATCTTCTCCATGATCTCGGCCACGTAAGGGGCGAAGCTTCCCTCGAGTACCTGAGCGTACACAACAAGCAGCTCAATGGCCATGTTCTTGTCCTCCATCGTGCTAGTCCGGATTCCAATCATCTTACCCTTGAGGGGGACGAGTTCCCAACCATCCTCCTGCTGGATCTGCTCGACCTGGTCGTCGTCATCCAGGAGCTGAATGTCGGCCTTGGCGCTGGCGAGCTCGAGAAGAGGTGGCATGACGTTGGGCAGGAAGGGAAGGAACTCCTGGCCGAGGACTCTGCACATGCGGCCCCAGCAGTGCATCAGGTACTGCGCTTGAGGGTCATCAGGATCGGTGATGTTTTGCTGGATGGAGGCAAGGAGCTGGACGAGAGTCATAGCATCTTGGCCAAGTCTTTCCTTGCCGACAGCCAGGGCGATCAGTGTAGCGCACTCCATAGCCTTGGCGCGGAGAAGGCGGAACTCCTTGTCGTTCTCTCTTTGCAAAACGCTGACCAACAGAGGCATAAGGGTATCGTAGTACTTAGAGAAAGCAGCCTCAGCAGCGTCGGCGATGGTGGCGATGGTCGACAGAGCCTGCTCCTGGACGTAGCGCTTCTCGTTCTGGAGCAACTGGAAGAGGTGAGACAGGAGCTCGTCGAGGTAAGGCTCCAGAATGGACTTCTCGGCCTCCTCGCAGAAGTTGACTAGGGCAGCAGCGGCGTGCGACTTGACACGAGCCTCGGGAGAGTCAAGGACCGGGATGATGGCCTTGAGAACACGGTCGTAGTAGTCGGTCTGCATCTTGGGCGCGAAATCAGTGCTCATCTGGCCAAGAGCGTTACAACCAGCCCAGCGCACACGGGGATGCGGGTCCTTGAGCGCAGGAACAACCAAATCGAGAACCTGGCTGAGCTCACCGATCATCAGCTCCCGGCAGCCTTCAGAGATGGCGGAAATGGCCATCAGAGCCGCATGTCTATCTCTCCAGGCCATAGAGGTCATCATGCGGGGAAGCCAGTTGAAGGTCGGTGCCAGGATGGTCTGGCCACCAAGCTTGTTGGCGAGTCTGTCCATGCACTGCTCTCCAGCGACGTGGTTCTGGTCGCTTTCCTCTTGATCCAGCTAGAGAAGTGTCAGTACTCCAATGATGCAAATTCTGGACAGACCAAAAGTATCACTCACATCGTCAGATGACAGCCAATCAGCCGCATCATCATCGTCCTCGCCAAGGTCAGTCATGAGACTGAGGCACTGTGTGATCATATCGTTTGTGTAGGTCTCGTCCTTGCGGCACAGTGATGGTGCGTAGTCGGCAAATGTGGCCATCAACTCAAGAGCGTTTTGGCGGCAAAGGTTATCGAGCTCCTTGTCCTGGATAACGGAGATACTGAACTTGACCAAGTTGCCGAAGAGAGGCTTAAACATCTTGGGCGCGGTCTCGGCCATGTCAATGAGAGCGACAAGGGCGCTGCTAAGGTCCTCAGAGTCATGGCTTTCCTTGATAGGCGGCATGATGTTGAGAACATCGGTAATAAGAGGGTAGTACTTGGGCTGCGCCTTCTTTCCCAAGCTCCTGAAGAAGGCCGCAAACGCCTCCATGGCGGCCAGACGCACCTTGATGAAAGTCAGCCGGCTTGATATCGATGGCGAATGGATGGGAATTCTCCTACCTGAACGGAATCGTCCTTGAAACCCTTCTGGAAGGCCTGGATAACCGTGTCCTCGTGCTGCTTCTCAATAATACCCGGAGTCGTGGCAAAGACGCGGAACGCCGTCTCTCTCTTCTCGGCGTCGGGCGCTATGCTAAGCTGGAAGAGACCGCCCAGCAGCTCGGGCCAGGAATCATCTGCCATGGTGTTAGGCTCGGAACGTCCCAAAGCATGAAGAAGCAGAATGTGGGTGTCGACGTACTGTTTTCGGTGTATTGCCTCGCGACTTCAGCGACAGCGTCACTGATCTTGTTTCTCACGGCACGCTGGAAGTCACCACCGAGGCTCTCGAGAAGCTTCTGGCGGATGACGGCAGCCTGGTCCTGAGACAAGGACAAAAACATATCAACCAACTCGCCGCGGTCATTCTTGCGGCTCTTGGAGGCGATTCTTCGGAAAATAACGGCGGCAAAGGAGCGTATCTGGTGAGCAAAGTGGCGCGGTTAGCTGGAGGCCAGAAGAGCGTGCGTGTTTACATGCGCAGGAATGGCGAGGGTAGGTAGAGGCGGAGGCATGAGGTGCAGGGTGGAAGAGCGTACCGAAGCATCAGATCCGACTTGAATCTGCTCAGCAAGACCCATCAACAAAACCTCGGGTCGGGTGGCTGTCCAGTTATTTTGAAGGTGGTCTTCGGCCTGCGATCGAACCGAGTTGTCTGGAGATTGGAGAGCTTGCAGCAGCTGCGAGAGCTCTGCGTGGACGTCTGGGGGGAGAACAGACATATTTGCGACTGAGACGGGGAGAAGATGGTGGTGGTTTGTTGTCGAGTCGTCTGCTGGATTTTTGCAGATTAATTAATTACCAGCCCCAAGACAGCGCAGCCGGGGCGGTGTGAGGTTGTCGAGGGCGCAAAGCTTGTCGAAAAAGAGGTAGGGTATACGCGGGGGAGAGGCGGATAAGAGTCGGCGTCGGGTTATGTTTTGTTCTGAGGGGTACTTTTTTACCCTTTTCGGTGGCCCAATGTCTCTGGACCTTAATTTTTTACCAGTCTTGGTGCGCCAAAGTAAGCGAACGCGTGTCGGACGAGGATATGGAGGAGGGCGGGTATATGCAGTCGTCTTCTGGAAGAAGGGACTGATCGCAATGAGTTTTCTTGTGCTTCAAGAGGCACGGTTCGGGTGGTGGAGGGAGGTTTTTTTTTTTTTTGGGTCGAAAGGGAAGGGGGAAAAAAACAAAGGAACATGCGGGAGTCAAAAAAGTGAGGCAGCAAGCCCGCGATGGTGAGGGACCAGGACTGGGGGTCTTCTTCGGGTCTTCCTGTCGTGGAGGGGAAACCTGCAAAAAATGACAATAATTTTGGCAGGTTTTTGGCGGGGCTGTTGCTAAAGGGTGGGCTCCACCTGTACGTCCCTCCCGTCCGGCGTCAGGCCGTCCGTGGTCACTTTACCTACCTTACATAGTAGGTACCTACCTTGTTGAGGTGGTGTCGCTGCGAGGTTTGTACCCGTGGTGCCGCGGTGGTACGTACGGGGCGGCATTATCAGCAACTCAAGGCACGAAAAGGCGCCGTCCTGGGCTGTCTGTGGTCTGCCCGCCCTGGCCCCGGCTTGAGGAGGGGGAGGAGGGGTGACGGATGGGAGGGGTTCTGCGGTGTAAGTGCCAACGGTACCTTACGGGCTCAGTACATTGTCACGTCCCGTCGTGTGTACGTATAAAATAATTTGTTAGTAAATTGGGCTTTTGACTGGCTGTGGTTGCATGTGAAGATTGGTCTCCACCGACAGGGTCAACGTTTGATCAAGGTACCTGGCCCTCCAATGCACAGGCACGCAGACGCGCAGAGAGAGCAACACTCATCGACTTCTTTCCAAGCCGTTTGTTACCAAGTAAACCGTCGGCTGGTATGCCCCAAAATGCCAGACTCTACCCAAGAGACATGGTGACGATACAATTTTCAAAAGAGCAATGTCTATGATTTATCATCTGACTACTAAGGTAGCATCACGTTGATTAGGTAGACTGATAGCTATCCCACTCCATTGGTGTTCAATTCGCATCAACCCACCTACCAATTGCCAAACACAATCGGTAAGTATCAAAGCATCTTGGCCAAACACTAAGATAGAACCTGTCCACAGTAGTATAACGCGAACAGATGATGAGAGGCCATTAAAATTCTCTGCCGAGGAAATAACACAAAGAAAGAAAAGCCCGCTGGCAAGCTTCACCATGTCAAGATATATTGCATGAAGCCGAGAATCTCTCTAAAAGCAAGGAGCTTCCTATTTTGAGGCACTCACATTTTCGTCCAAGCTTCCGGCTGCCCTATCATGAAAGACGAGTAAAAATGGCTGTACATGCCGTATTGTGGGCAAGGCCCTTTGTTTCTACCATTGTGCCTGCCAACCAGCGTCCCTGAGGTTAGTAGGCTTGGACACATTTCCCTAGTCACAGATGAGGGGCGATGCATCAAGGGACGGCCCTTTCTCTGGCTGAAAGTCAAGACGGTACGGCGAGATATCCGGCCACATACAATATACGAAGCCCGTCCGAATACAAATATCATGGCCCAGGCACAAATCAAAAAGTAAGCGTCTGCTTACAATGGTGCTGGAGTTACATAAGGTGGCTGCAGGTGGCTGCCGACAAGAAAGAGACGAAACGGCAAATGGATCTTGCATAGAATCCTTCATCTGTGATTAACATTAGTCGCGACCGAGTCCCAACTTTCCTACATCTGATATAGGTATGTACCAGTCCGACATGATTAGAATGCATCTAGATATTTCAGGTATGTATTTGAGCGAAGTATGCGGAAGGGGAGGTTATCTGGCTTATGGGGTATGGGAAGAAGACATAGCCAATGAGAACCCGGTCTGCCAACATACCTGTCCAAGGAGGGGTAGCGGACAGATTCCTTGCCTACACTTGTACATACCTTAGTGTAGACAACCTCTGTCCATTCTAACGTTCAGCACCCAAAAACTCCCTGCCGGCGCTGTTTACATCCCTGGGGTTACGTCTCCGGGGTACGTAACCCCGTTGTGTAGTGGCTAAGTTTTGCCAACGTCCTCCGTAGCGCCTGTCATGATGCTTCACTCGCCTTAGGCAAAGGTAACTACCTTAGGGAGGTACCTAGCTAAGGTACCTAAGGTAAGGTCCAGTAGCTGCAACCCCTCATCTTGCTTCTTTTCTTTTTTCTTTCCCCGCCTCAGTCTGTTCGTCGTCGAGTTGTTGGTTGTTGCCGGAAGAGAACTCTCTTGAGACCTTTTACACATAGTTCAAACCACACTGCCATCTCGCTGCTCCATCATCCCAGCATCGCGACGTTCGAAGACTTCAGCGTCTTCTGCACGAGTCAAATCACGTTTCAACCAATAGAATACCATATCCAGGAGAGCCGTGGAACACCCCGTTGAAAGCGCATGTCAAGTTCGCCTCCCCTGCCACCTTGGGATCCGTCAGATCACTGCAGCCCCTCAATTGCGATCCATAGCTCTACGTAAGGCGGTGCAACTTCCCCGGCCCCAGGCTGGGCAACCGTCGCTCTCGGGCGCAATCAGCCGACCATTGACTTCTTCATCTCTCGGCGCCTCGTCAATAATCCCCTCAGCCACCACAAAAGAAGCGGCTTTGCAAAGTGAAAAGGCATCGCTCATTGAGGAAGACTCAGGCTTAGCCAACATCACGAGCTTCTAGACAGCAAGACACTAAACTGCAGCAACAACATAGCAAGTCGCCAACCACCATCGAAACCCCGCCCTCGATCGTTCTGCCCATCTTGCTACAACATCCCGAGTAGACCGTCCCATACTAGGTTGCACCAACATCTCCAGATTGAATTAAGTCATGGACGCAACACTGACGTCCGGGGCACACAATGACGAAGCCATCATAACCTCACCTCCTGCTGTCCCTCAGCGAACTCCCTCCCAGACGAGCCTGCACAAGACCACCCACGTCCACACCCATCGTCAGAGCTTCGCCGAAAATCTGAGAAATGCGCCTGGCTCGCCTCGCGCCCAGCGACATCCCTCTTTCACTCAAGCTGCTGTACAGGATCTCCTCAACCATCCACCTGCCGCCAACAAGCACTCGAACCCGCGCTTTGCAGGCCGCGACTGGCGCGACATCTCGGTCAACGAGCTCGTTGCCCAAGATGACTTCAGATGGGTTACTCTGGACACCAGTGTTGAGGAGGCCTCGATGGTGCGTTCTCCCTCCCATTTTATTCAAGTGCTTTGTATCTTTTACTAACGCTGTGGTAGACTCTTGTCAAACACAGCCCGTCCAACGTCGTTCTGATCCGAGAAGATGCATCGTCCAAAACCGCTGTTTCAACATTTGACTACAATGACCTAAACACATATCTTCTTGTAGTTGTAGGACTCGCCAGGCCCGACGAGGAGCAGGTACCCCTGTACGACGAAATCGTGAACAAGGCCCAGACGGGAGCCCGTATAGCCCTACGAGATATCCAGCCGCTTTGCCGCAAGGAGTCACTCATCACCTTGCCCTTTGATGAGACACTGGAACGGGCCATCGAAGTGTTTGGCAGCGGCATCCACCGCGTTCTGGTCACAAACCCCTCGGGCGACGTAATTGGCATCCTCACTCAGCTCAAGGTCATTGAGTTCTTCTGGAACGAAGGCATCAATTTTCCCGCCATCGACAGATTATACCCTGTCCTGTTGCGCGATCTTGGCATCGGCACGCAGCAAATCGTCTCCGTCAAGTAAGAACACTCTCCTCTTGCTAGCTTGCGACATGAACTAATGCTTTGTAGCTCCGACAGCATTCTAGGAGACGCCCTGGCGCTCATGAACGCCGAGGGTCTGACGAGTGTGGCTGTTATTGACAATGGCCACAATGTTGTTGGAAACATCTCAACCGTAGACGTCAAGCATCTGACGAATGCCGCCGACGCGCCATTGCTCAAGCAATCCTGCATGCACTTCATCTCTGTCATCCTAGGCGAGCGCGGCGTCGAGCACGGCCGCGACTCTTTCCCGGTCTTTTACGTGAACCCGTACTCGACGCTGGCGCACACTGTAGCAAAGCTGGTGGCCACCCAGTCTCATCGCATGTGGGTTGTTGAATCGGCGTCTCCGTCTCCGTCCGCACCGGCTACTCCCTTGTTGGCGCCCACAACGTCGTCAGTGCTGGTGCCGGGCATTGGTTCCGCGCCTCAGTCGCCTCTCCCGACTCAGGTATCGCACGTTGTACCTGCCGCGGCCATGCCAGGCGCCCATCTTTCCGGCCGTCTGACCGGTGTCATCTCGCTGACCGACATCTTGAACATGTTTGCAAAGTCGTCGGGACTGCGGCCGTCGGACCCGGGCGAGCAGCGAGCGCGCCGTCGCAGGAGCTCCAGCAGCTCCATGCGGCCAAGTCTCGACTCGTCGAGACCGAGCCTTGACTCACGTCGATGAGCAAGACTTGGTCTTTGGCAAATATGGAGCAACAATGAAATCCTAGAAAGCTTTACATCAGCTTTTAATGACTGGCGTTTACGGGTTCGTCACATGGGGCTTCTGCTTTCGCTAGAGCATGCTTGTGCTCACTTTTCATGCTTTTTTTTTTCTGTCTCCATTAGACGGCCGAAGCTTCAGACGAGATATTCTAGATCACTGTCGATAACAAGCGCTTCCCGCACTAAATGTGATCTGAATATTTTCCCACTTTATGCTGCTCGTCCGTGATACATGGGGTGAATCTCTGTCATATTCTGGGCTCCGTATCTGTATGGCCTCTGTCGTCTTCTAGGCAAGTGTCCATATCT